ACACACAGGCCACCTTCTCCTCAGGACCATCCCAGTGCTCCCGACACCTTGCACACGCCTGTCTCCACGGGCTTTCCCACCCCTCCATGCACACAGCGGGACCCCCAAGAGCCGCCCACACACTCTTTGTTTCCCCCAGAATGCAATGAGCTTCTCGTGCCAGGACCACGGCTGAGCTGACCAGCTGCTGGCCCAGGCTGGAGGGTCACCCCAGCTGGGCTGTTGGGGCGGCCTCCAGACTCCACGTTGCTGACCCGGGGGTGGGGGGGACGCTCACACAGGCCTGGCAGGTGGCCACGGTGGGAGCTGAGGGCTAGGAGGTGGACAGCGCTGCCCGCGGGCCTGGAGGGAGGAAGCTGGGGTGGGGGCGGGGCCCTCGCGGCCAGTCTCACCTCTGAGGAGGCCCGCACTGGGGCCTGATGGCAGCGCAGGAGCCAGGTGTGTCCCCGGGAGTGAGCCGAGTGTCTGAGTGTGAGCTGAGTGTCTGGGAGTGAGCCGAGAGTGTCCGGGTGTGAGTTGACTATAACTGGGTGTGAGCTGAGTGTGTCTGTATGTGACCCATGTGTAGGTGTGAGAAGAGTGTGTCCAGGTGTTATATGTGTTCAGGTGTAAGCTGAGTGTGTCCTTGCATAAGCTAATTGTGTCCAGGTGTGAGCCCAGTATGTTCAGGTGTAAGCTGTGTGTGTCCAGGTGTGAGCAGTGTCTGGGTGTGAAGCAGTGTGTGTTCAGGTTCACACCTGAGTGTATCTGGTTGTGAGATGAGTGTGTCTGGGTGTGAGCAGTGTGTGCTCGGTGTGAGCAGTGTGTCTGAATGTGAGTAGTGTGTGTCCGGGTGTGAAGAGTGTGTCCGGGTGTGAGTAGTGTGTCTGGGTGTGAGCTGAGTGTGTCCAGGTGTGAGCTGAGTGTCTGGGTGTGAGCTGAGTGTGTCGGTGTGAGCAGTGTGTGTCCGGGTGTGAGCTGAGTGTGTCTGGATGTGAGCTGAGAGTGTCCGGGTGTAAGCAATGTGTGTTCGGGTGTGGGCTGAGTGTGTCCGGGTGTAAGCAGTGTGTGTTTGGGTATGAGCTGAGTGTTTCTGGATGTGAGCTGAGTGTGTCTGAATGTGAGTTGAGTGTGTCCAGGTGTGAGCAGAGTGTGTCTGGGTGTGAGCAGTGTGTGTTCAGGTGTGAGCTGAGTGTGTTCTGGTGTGAGCTGAGTGTGTCCAGGTGTGAGCAGAGTGTGTCTGGGTGTGAGCTGAGTGTGTTCGGGTGTGAACTGAGTGTGTTTGGGTGTGAACAGTGTGTGTTCAGGTGTGAGCTGAGTGTGTTTGGGTGTGATCTGAGTGTGTCCAGATGTGAGCAGAGTGTGTCCGGGTGTGAGCAGTGTGTTTGGGTGTAAGCTGAGTGTGTTCGGGTGTGAGCTGAGTGTGTCTGGAGGTGAGCATGTGTGTTCGGGTGTGAGCTGCGTGTGTCTGGATGTGAGCTGAGTGTGTCTGGGTGTGAGCAGAGTGTGTCTGGGTGTGAGCAGTGTGTGTTCGGGTGTGAGCTGAGTGTGTTCAGGTGTGAGCTGCGTGTGTCTGGATGTGATCTGAGTGTGTTTGGGTGTGAGCAGAGTGTGTTCAGGTGTGAGCTGAGTGTGTTTGGGTGTGATCTGAGTGTGTCCAGATGTGAGCAGAGTGTGTCCGGGTGTGAGCAGTGTGTGTTTGGGTGTAAGCTGAGTGTGTTCGGGTGTGAGCTGAGTGTGTCTGGAGGTGAGCATGTGTGTTCGGGTGTGAGCTGCGTGTGTCTGGATGTGAGCTGAGTGTGTCTGGGTGTGAGCAGAGTGTGTCTGGGTGTGAGCAGTGTGTGTTCGGGTGTGAGCTGAGTGTGTTCAGGTGTGAGCTGCGTGTGTCTGGATGTGATCTGAGTGTGTTTGGGTGTGAGCAGAGTGTGTCTGGGTGTGAGCAGTGTGTGTTCGGGTGTGAGCAGAGTGTGTCTGGGTGTGAGCTGAGTGTGTCTGGGTGTGAACTGAGTGTGTCTGGGTGTGAGCTGAGTGTGTCCGGGTGTAAGCAGTGTGTGTTCGGGTGTGACCTGCGTGTTCTGGATGTGAGCTGAGTGTGTCTGGGTGTGAGCAGAGTGTATTTGGGTGTGAGCTGAGTGTGTTTGGGTGTGAGCTGAGTGTATCTGGGTGTGAGCAGAGTGTGTCTGGGTGTGAGCAGTGTGTGCTCGGGTGTAAGCAGTGTGTGCTCTGGTGTGATCTAAGTGTGTCCGGATGTGAGCTGAGTGTGTACGGGTGTAAGCCGTGTGTGTTCAGGTGTGAGCCGTGTGTTTGGGTGTGAGCTGAGTGTATCTGGGTGTGAGCAGAGTGTGTCTGGGTGTGAGCAGTGTGTGTTCCGGTGTGAGCTGAGTGTGTCTGGGTGTGAGCTGAGTGTGTCTGGGTGTGAGCTGAGTGTGTCCGGGTGTGAGCAGTGTGTGTTCGGGTGTGAGCAGTGTGTGTTTGGGTGTGAGCTGCGTGTGTCTGGGTGTGAGCAGAGTGTGTCTGGGTGTGAGCAGTGTGTGTTCCGGTGTGAGCTGAGTGTGTCTGGGTGTGAGCTGAGTGTGTCTGGGTGTGAGCTGAGTGTGTCCGGGTGTGAGCAGTGTGTGTTCGGGTGTGAGCAGAGTGTGTCTGGGTGTGAGCTGAGTGTGTCTGGGTGTGAACTGAGTGTGTCTGGGTGTGAGCTGAGTGTGTCCGGGTGTGAGCAGTGTGTGTTCGGGTGTGAGCAGAGTGTGTCTGGGTGTGAGCTGAGTGTGTCTGGGTGTGAACTGAGTGTGTTTGGGTGTGAGCTGAGTGTGTCCGGGTGTAAGCAGTGTGTGTTCGGGTGTGACCTGCGTGTTCTGGATGTGAGCTGAGTGTGTCTGGGTGTGAGCAGAGTGTATTTGGGTGTGAGCTGAGTGTGTTTGGGTGTGAGCTGAGTGTGTTCGGGTGTGAGTTGAGTGTATCTGGGTGTGAGCAGTGTGTGCTCGGGTGTGACCTGTGTGTTCTGGATGTGAGCTGAGTGTGTCTGGGTGTGAGCTGAGTGTTTGGGTGTGAGCTGAGTGTGTTCGGGTGTGAGCTGAGTGTATCTGGGTGTGAGCTGAGTGTATCTGGGTGTGAGCAGAGTGTGTCTGGGTGTGAGCAGTGTGTGTTCCGGTGTGAGCTGCGTGTTCTGGATGTGAGCTGAGTGTGTCTGGGTGTGAGCAGAGTGTGTCTGGGTGTGAGCTGAGTGTTTGGGTGTGAGCAGAGTGTGTTTGGGTGTGAGCTGAGTGTATCTGGGTGTGAGCAGAGTGTGTGGGTGTGAGCAGTGTGTGTTCCGGTGTGAGCTGAGTGTGTCTGGGTGTGAGCTGAGTGTGTCTGGGTGTGAGCTGAGTGTGTCCGGGTGTGAGCAGTGTGTGTTCGGGTGTGAGCAGTGTGTGTTTGGGTGTGAGCTGCGTGTCTGGATGTGAGCTGAGTGTGTTTGGGTGTGAGCTGAGTGTGTTCGGGTGTGAGTTGAGTGTATCTGGGTGTGAGCAGTGTGTGCTCAGGTGTGACCTGTGTGTTCTGGATGTGAGCTGAGTGTGTCTGGGTGTGAGCAGAGTGTGTCTGGGTGTGAGCTGAGTGTTTGGGTGTGAGCTGAGTGTGTTCGGGTGTGAGCTGAGTGTATCTGGGTGTGAGCTGAGTGTATCTGGGTGTGAGCAGAGTGTGTCCGGGTGTGAGCAGTGTGTTCGGGTGTGAGCTGCGTGTTCTGGATGTGAGCTGAGTGTGTCTGGGTGTGAGCAGAGTGTGTCTGGGTGTGAGCAGTGTTGTTCGGGTGTGAGCTGAGTGTGTCTGGGTGTGAGCTGAGTGTGTCCGGGTGTGAGCAGTGTGTGTTCGGGTGTGACCTGCATGTTCTGGATGTGAGCTGAGTGTGTCTGGGTGTGAGCAGAGTGTCTGGGTGTGAGCTGAGTGTGTTCGGGTGTGAGCTGAGTGTATCTGGGTGTGAGCAGAGTGTGTCTGGATGTGAGCTGAGTGTGTCTGGGTGTGAACACTGTGTGTTTGGGTGTGAGCTGAGTGTGTCTGGATGTGAGCTGAGTGTGTCTGGGTGTGAGCTGTGTCCACGTGTGAGCATTGTGCATTCGGGTGTGAGCTGAGTGTGTCTGGGTGGGAGCCCACTACGCCTGGGTGTGAGCCCAGTGTGTCCTGGGTGTGAACTGAGTGTGTCCAGGATGACCATCCTGGTGTGAGCTGAGTGTTCTGGGGTGGCTGTCTGGGGTGACTAAGAGCAGGAGTGACATGAGTGTGACCCGCAGTAGCTGTGTCTGGGGCTGAGCTGGGTGTGTCGGGGTGACCGTGTCTGGGGGTGCACTAGTGGACCCCCGAGCATCACCCCCACAGAGGGCACGTGGTCAGTGCTGGCCAGGGTGAGCCGTGCGCACCCCCCTTTGGAGCTGAGCTCGCCCTTATGCGCCCCATTGCGGATACACGTGAGCTCTGGGTCAGGGGAGGGGGTGTAGGTGAACTGGGGAGGCAACCATCAGGGGAACCTAGCCTCTCCCTCAAGGGGGAGCCGTGTGTTGGGGGGCGGGGCACCGTGGGTGTCAGGGTGTTATTTCCCTCCGGGGGTTCCCACACCCCTCATATCACTCCCACCCCGCTCAGCGCGCCAGCCTGGGGGGCGGAGGGGGCAGGAAAATCGCGTCAAACTTCAGAAAAAACGCAGGGGGAAAAATTCCAAGTCTGGAGGGAATGGGGGCGTCCTGCGGGAAGGGGCCCCCAAGGAGTGGAGGAGAATGCATAGGCGGTGGTTCCCAGGGGCCCCGGCGACGGAGGGAGGAGCGGGGAGCCTGGACCCCACCCCCACGGCGCATACTGGCAACATTTTTTTTCCTTCTTTCGGTTTTTGGGGCCACACCCGTGGGCGCTCAGGGCTGACTCCCGGCTGGCTCTGTGGCTCAGGGATCACTTCCGGTGATGCTCAGGGGACCCAACGGGCTGGCGGGCACCGAACCCGGGGTCTCCCGCGTGCCAGGCAAGATCTCCGGGGTGGCGATGGCGATGGCGGGGGCGGGCGGGCCGGGCCCCCACCCCCGTCAGATCATTTTCATGTTGAACTTGCGCGCGCCGCCCTGGCCCGCGGCGGCCGCCGGCCCGTCCACCTTGCGGAACGAATACTCGACGGAGAAGTTGTTCTTGTGCTGCCCCCGCCCGCGGCTCCAGACGAACAGCAGCAGGAAGCAGAAGAGCACGACGCCCAGGAAGGTGATGCAGCCCATGGCGGTGGACACCAGGATGGTGGTGAGGTCCAGCGGGAAGCGCGCGGCCGCCTGCGTCTCGTTGCGCCCCTCGCCCGGGGTCCGGTTGGCGGCCGGCTCGGGCTCCACGGCCAGGGTGGCGAAGTAGGTGTCGTTGCCGCCCGCGTTGCTGGCCACGCACGTGTAGGTGCCGCTGTCCTGGGGGCGCGCGTCGCGGATCTCCAGGGTGCCCCCGGGCAGCACGCGCGCGCGCCCGGCGCTGGCCGCGGTGACGGCCAGGTGCTGGGGCGTCACCCAGGCCACCGTGGGCGCCGGCTCGCCGTCGGCGCGGCACTGGAAGCGCACGGGCTGGCCCGCGGCCGCCGTCACGCGCTGCAGCCGCCGCTCGCGGATCTGGGGCTTGCGGCACACGAAGTACTCGAAGAGCGCCGAGTCGGGCAGGTGGCGCAGGGCGTCGCCGCGCACCTCGGCCGGGCTGGCGCACGCGGGCAGGCGCCCGTCGAAGTTGAGCGTCTTGCGCCGCTGCACGATCCACAGCAGGCGGCAGTCGCACGCCAGCGGGTTCCCGTCCATGCGCAGCGTCTCCAGCGTGTTCACCGAGTGGAACGTGCTCTCCTCGAGCGTGGACAGCAGGTTGTCCGACAGGTTGAGCAGGCGGATCTGCCGCAGCCCCAGGAAGGCCTGGGGCTCCACCACGGCCAGCAGCGCGCCGGCCAGGTGCAGCTCCCGCAGGCGCACCAGGTCGCGGAACGAGCCTCGGGGCACGGTGCTGATGGGGTTGTGGGAGAGGTTGAGGCAGGTGAGATGCGCCTGGTGGCGCAGCGCGGCGGCCGGCACGGCCGTGATGTTGGTGTGCGTGACGGACAGCGAGGTCAGGTTGAGCCCCTGCAGGCTGCCCGCGCCCAGCTCCTCCAGCAGCGGCCAGTGGTCGATCTCCAGGTGCCGCAGCGCCGGCAGCCGACGGAAGTTCTCCTCGTCCAGCGCCGCGATGGCCAGGTGGCGCAGGCGGAGCGCGCCCAGGCCGCGCAGGTGGCCCAGCGACTCGGCCGACAGCGCCGTGAGGTTGCAGCGCTCCAGGGTCAGCTCGCGCAGGGCCAGCAGCCCCGCGAAGGCGCGGCGGGAGATGAACACCAGGTCATTGTCGCCCACCTCCAGCCGCCGCAGGCTGCGCAGGTCCTGGAAGGCGTAGTCCAGCAGGATGACCAGCTTGTTCTGGCTCAGGTCCAGCAGCGTGAGGTTGCCCAGGCGCGTGAACACGCCCGGCGGGATGAGCTTCAGGAGGTTGCCCCGGAGACGCAGCACCCGCAGCCGCGGCAGGTTGGCGAAGGCGCCCGGTTCCACGTGGGCGATGACGTTCTCGCTCAGGTCCAGCTCCTCGAGGCCCGGCAGCGCCGCCAGGTCGCCCGGGTTCAGGCAGCGGATGCGGTTGCGGCTGAGTTCCAGCACGCGCGTGTCGGCGGGGATGCCGTCGGGCACGGCCGTCAGGCGGCGCCGGGCGCAGGTGACCACGGCGCGCGCCGCCGGGGCGCTGCACTCGCACCGGGCCGGGCAGCCGGGCGCCGGGGGCGCGGCCGCGGGCAACAGGAGGAGCTGGAAGCTCAGTAGGCTGCTGAGCCAGCGGGTCATGGTGCGGAGCGTGGGCCTAGGGCCGCGCCACCATCCTCGTGGGCACCTAGGGGCGAGGGGGCGGGGCAGCGTTAGCTCCGGGGACCGGCCGCCCAGTCCCGTCCCCCACCCCCCCAGCAAGAGAACTGAGCGGTGGCGGGGGCTGGAGCGGTAGCACAGCGGGTGGGGCGCCTGCCTTGCACGCGGCCGACCCGGGTTCGATTCCCAGCATCCCATAGGGTCCCCCGGGGAGCACCGCCTGGAGTAATTCCTGAGTGCAGAGCCAGGAGTAACCCCTGAGCATCGCAGAGTATGACCCAAAAAGAAAAAAAAAAGAGGGGTTGGAGTGATGGCACAGAGAGTAGGGCGTTTGCCTTGCACGTGGTCGACCCGGGTTCGATTCCCAGCATCCCATTGGGTCCCCCCCCGGAGCACCACCAGGAGTAATTCCTGAGTGCAGAGCCAGGAGTAACCCCTGAGCATCGCAGAGTGTGACCCAAAAAGAAAAAAAAAAGAGGGGCTGGAGTGATAGCACAGAGAGTAGGGCGTTTGCCTTGCATGCGGCCGACCTAGGTTCGATTCCCAGCATCCCATTGGGTCCCCCCCGGAGCACCACCAGGAGTAATTCCTGAGCGCAGAGCCAAGAGTAATCCCTGAGCATCGCAGAGTATGACCCAAAAAGAAAAAAAAAAAAGAGGGGCTGGAGTGATAGCACAGCGAGTAGGGCGTTTGCCTTGCATGCGGCCGACCTGGGTTCGATTCCCAGCATCCCATAGGGTCCCCCCGGAAGCACCGCCAGGAGTAATTCCTGAGTGCGTGAGCCAGGAGTAACCCCTGTGCATTGCCAGGTGTGACCCCCCCCCAAAAAAAAGGCAAAAAAAAAAAGAGAGAAGTGGGAGGGCCCAGAGCCATAGGACAGCGGGGAGGGTGCTCGGCCCAACCCGGCATTCCCGTAGAGACACCCCAGCATCTCCAGGAGTGATCCCTGAGTGCTGAGCCAGGCGGAAATCCCTGAGTAACGCCAGGTGTGACTCACAAACCAAAAACCCAAGAGAACCGAGTGGGCCACGCGTCTACCTTCAAGTCCGCTAGCAGAGGGGAGGGCGTTTGTTCTGTACACAGTGGACCCAGGTTCGACCCCCACAACCCCATACGGTCCCCCAGAGCCCCGCTGGGAGTAGTCAGTCACTGAGCACACCGCCAGGAGTCAGCCCTGAGCACTGCCGGGTGTGGCCCAGAAACCAACAACAAAATAAACTCCTGAGAGTGGGGAGGGGGACAGGGGAACTGGGGACATTGGGGACAGGATATGTACACCGGTGAAGGGAGGGTGTTGGGACACTGAGTGACTGAAACCCAATCATAAGCAACTTTGTAACTGTGTATCTCAAGGTGATCCAATTTTTTTAAAATTTTAAAAAATTTTTTTATTAGTGAAACACCATGAGGTACAGTTATAGACTTATAAATTTTTGTGCTTGGGTTTCAGTTATACAATGATCAAGTACCAATCCCTCCACCAGTGCCCATCCTCTACCACCACGGGTCCCAGTATCCCTCCCCCCCATCCCCCCGTCCCACCCTGCCTCTGTGGCAGGGAATTCCCCCTTGTTCTCTCTCTCTTCTTTTGGGTACTGTGTTCTGCAAGAGAGGCACTGAGTGGCAATCATGTTTGGTCTACAGACTACTTTTAGCATGTTTCTCCCACCCTGGGTGGGTCCTCACAACTCCCTTTTATTCGGTGCTCTCTTCTCTATCTGAGCTTCTCAAGGTGATGCAATTTTTAAAAATTTAGAAAATAAAAAAATTCCAAGGGCAGATGTTAGACCGGCGGGGGGAGGGGTACCCCTAGTTCATTCTGAAACCTCCCTACAGATACCAGCAGAAACCAAAGAAACCAACCCAGCACTGAATTGGCCTCACGGGGGGGGGGGGGGGGGCGGGGGCGGCCCCTGACTGCAGCCCCCAGATCTATCCCTGGCACACCCCATAGGGTCTCCCAAGCACCGCCAGGAGCAATCCCTGAGTGCAGAGCCGGGAGTCAGCCCTGAGCACCGCTGAGGAGGCCTGAAAACCAAAACCAAAACAAACAAAAAAAGAAAATCAAGGTTAACAGACGATGTGAGGCCTTGCTCACCACTCAGAACCAAATGCAAGGGGCTGGAGCGATAGCACAGCGGGTAGGGCATTTGCCTTGCACGTGGCCAACCCGGGTTCGATTCCCAGCATCCCATAGGGTCCCCCGAGCACCGCCAGGAGTAATTCCTGAGTGCAGAGCCAGGAGGAACCCCTGAGCATCACCAGTTGTGATCCAAAAAAGCAAAAAAATAAAATCAGGGGCTGGAGTGATGGCACAGCGGGTAGGGCATTTGCCTTGCACGCGGCCAACCCGGGTTCGATTCCCAGCATCCCATAGGGTCCCCCGAGCACCGCCAGGAGTAATTCCTGAGTGCATGAGCTAGGAGTAACCCCTGTGCATCGCTGGGTGTGACCCAGAAAGAAAAAAAAATGCAACAAGAGATCAAAGTGGACTCAAGGTTGTGATTGACACAGAAATCCCCAGGTTCCCCGCCCCATCCTGGTACCAGTCACCCCACCCAGAGGTACCCGGGTGAATGGCATGGTGGGGGTGGGGGACAGTTCAAAACCAAGGGACACTGGGGCTGGAGAGAGCACAGCGGGTAGGGCATTTGCCTTGCACAGGGCCGACCCAGGTTCGATTCCCAGCATCCCATAGGGTCCCCCAAGCACGGCCAGGAGTAATTCCTGAGTAATTCCTCTGCTCTCAGAGCCAGGAGTAACCCCTGTGCATGGCCGGGTGTGACCCAGAAAGAAAAAAAAAAACCCAAAAAAAACAAGGGACGCCTCGGTTCCAGGCACCCATGGGTCTCTGCTCCCTGTCCCAGCTGAGCAGTATGGTAAGGGGGGCAGACAGGTGGAGACCAGCTGCCAACACACCCCACCTAGACATGGCTGGGGAGGTGAGCCCTGCCGGGTCATTTTCCTAGAAGCAGTTTTTATTTTTATCTTTTTTTTTTTTTTTTTGCTTTTTGGGTCAACACCCGGCGATGTGGGTGTTACTCCTGGTTTTGCACTCAGTAACGCCAGTTACTCCTGGCGGTGCTCAGGGGACCCTATGGGATGCTGGGAATCGAACCCGGGTCGGCCGTGTGCAAGGCAAACATCCTACCTGCTGTGCTATTGCTCCAGCCCCTCTCTAGAGGCAGTATTTTTCATTTCTGTTTTACTTTTGCGGTCACACCTGGCGATGCACGGGGTCCCTCCTGGTTCTGCTCTCAGGGATCACTCCTGGCAGGGCTTGGGGGACCCTCGGGGATGGCGGGGATCAGTCCTGGACATGTGCCAGGCCAGTGCCCTTCCTGCTGTGCGACCTCTCCAGCAACCCCACCCCACCCCAGTGTTTTCTAGGTCATCCTCCCCAGAGTAGTGGCCTGAGGCAGCCAGGGAGAAGTGGGGTCTCCAGAGGGGCCGGCAGGCCCTCCACACAGCACAGCCCAGCCCAGCTCGGACCCCACAGCCAGGTCCTGTGCCCAGATCAGCCCGCTGCCCTGGGCTGCAGCACTCACTGTTCGCGCCTGCCCTGCCCAGGAAGAATCAAGGCGGTCTGCTTGGAGATCAACCTGTTTGCGGTGGAAGAGGAGGAAAAAAAGGGTGGGACTTCTCAGCGCCCCCCTACACACCCGGCAGGCAGAGCCCGCTGTGGTGCGTCCTGGAGACAGTGAAACTGACACAGAAAATGAACCAGACGACGTTGCTGGTTGGCAGGACAGTACAGCCGGGAGGGTGTGTGTGTTTGTCTTGTGCTGCCGCTGTGATTCCCCACGTCCCTTATGGTCCCCAAAGCACTGCCAGGATTAATTTCTGAGTGCAGAAGCAGGAGTAACCTCTGAGCATCGCCGGGTGTGATCAAAAAGCCAAAAAAAAAAAAAAAGTTCCCCAGCTGCCCTGTCCCTCCATCCTCTGCTCCAGCCTGGGGCTCCCACTTCCTCCACAGCACACACCATTCTGGCCCCAGGCCCTGGGGGGCTGTGCCCGAGTCCCCTTGCTCTCCCACACTTCATCTGACGCCCCTTTGCAGTAGAATCTCCACCATCCTCAGCCACGTGTCCCCCCAGCGCCATCCAGGTCCTTGTTTAACTCTCAGGACTCCAGGTTGTGAGCACCAGGGGAACCAGGGCAACAGCACAGCGGGTAGCACAACCCGGAGGCATCTGCCCTGCACGCAGCCAACTGGGGCTCCATCCCTGACACCCCAGAGGGCTCCCTGAGCATGGCCAGGAGTGATCCCTGAGCACGGAGCCAGGAGTCAGCCTTGAGCACCACCAGGTGTGCCTCCCCCCTGCGAAAAAAGAAAAAGGCATCAACGTCACCATCACTGTCCTCACCATCACTATCACCATCACCACCGTAGCCTTCATCTCACGAACTGTCAACAGCATCATTATCACCATGACTACATCACCGTCAATGGCACAGTAACTACCGTATCACCATCAGTACCATCACCATCAATGGCACAGTAACTATCATATCACCATGACTACCATCACCATCAATGGCACAGTTAACACCACATCACCATGACTACCATCACTATCAATGGCACAGTAACTATCATATCACCATGAGTACCATCACCATCAATGGCACAGTTAACACCATATCAACATGACTACCATCACTATCAGTGACACAGTTTTAGCCACCATATTCACCACGACTACCACTAATGTGGCCATTTCCACTACCATCATCATCATCACCACCATTTCTACCACCACCAACACCATAACCACCATCACCATTGCTGCCATCACCGACACCACCATCACTGCCACCACTATAACCACCATCACCACCACCACCCTGTTACGCTGTTGTTTTGAATCACACCCGGTGATGCTCAGGGGTTCCTCCTGGCTCTGCACTCAGCAATCACTCCTGGCAGTACTCGGGGGAGGACCCTATGGGATGCCGGGGATCGAACCCACATCAGCCGCATGCAAGGCCAGTGTCCTCCCCGCTGTCCTATGGCTCCCACCCGGC